TTGACGACCAGATCATTAAAAATATATATATTTCAAAAGCAGTAGCCCAGGATCCAGACCTTAGCAGCTCACCGCGGACCTGTGCCACCGCAGAGCTCAGGGAGAGCATTTCCAATCCACATGTGGCCCATTTTCCTGCTGTGCTTCTCAGTTGCTTCTTCTTCTCAATCCAGAGGAATCGTGTAACACTGAAAGACTACATGTAGCTTTGGGGAGAGTGCTCCAGTAGATGGACTTGTGTGAAGAAGGCATGAATGAGGTACTGGCCAAACTGGGTCTTGAAGAATGAGAGGTACCACTGACCATCTACGGTTGCAAAGAACAGAATTGCCAGAGAATTGTGGGAGGCATAATAATGACAGCATTGGATTTGCCATGCTGTGTTGCCCACCCCCCTTCTCCACCTTGTTCTTATGTTTTTACGGCAACTAAGTGGAAGATGTCATCAAAAACATCAGCATCATCACAGTCTTAAAGAACAATTCCTGTTTTGTTCTGTTATTGTAACCAACACCATGACACAAACAACTTAGGGCAGGAAAGGTTTTATTTCATCTTATAGATTACAGTCCATTATTGAGGGACATAGGGCAGGAACTTGAAGCAGAAACCATGGAGGGATGCTGCTTGCTGGCTTGCTCACTCACTCACTCACTGGCCTATGCTCAGCTTTCTCATGCAGCCCAGAACCATCTACCTAGGGATGGTGCTATCCACAGTAGCATGGGCCCTCTTATAGTGATTAACAATCCCACACAGACATGCTCACAGACTAATCTGTTCTAGACAATCCCTCAACAGAGATCCACTTCTCTGATGACTCTGGGCTAGGACAAATTGATGGTTATAGCTAACTGGAACAGGAACCCAACCATACAGAACGTTAAGAAAGTCATGGACAGGGGTTCTGTTTAGGGATGTGAATGATATCATTGGTGTGTCAGCACATGCATTACTTAACCTTACTTAAGGATGGAGAGCCAGCTCCCGCTCTGTCAGGCCATCCATGGGTACAGATTCTATCTTGTGGCTCTCTCATCCTCGTGTTCTTGGTAGAGCTAATTCACCATCACTTCATTTGCATTTCTACCCAGGAGAAAGGAGGAAGGAAGCACAAGTCATGTCCTTTCATGGATATGACCTAGAGGTCACTAATGTCCTTTGGGCCAGATCTCCGTCTCTTATCCACAGCCAATGCTAGGAAGGCTTTACCTGGGTGATCACGTCCTCTGCTTAAGACTATCACTAAAGCACTAGCAGACAATGGCAATCCGTCACAGATGGGCCATGGGTATCTTAATGAAAATCAGATCCTCTTCCAGACACAAGGGCACACATCTACACCTCCAGCAGGTGTTGAGGCAGGAGGATCTCAGGTTCCAACCAGACCATCGTACTTATAACTCACAGACAACCAGAAGTCCACTTACCTGTCACAAGTTACAAAAGGCTTTTCCCACAGCTGCTCCTGAGGTTAACTGAGAATAAAATGTGATTCACCTTTGCCTTAAGTAGCAAGGGCCAAGAATGACAAAACGGCTCTCGGCTGGAATCTGAAAGAGGTTGGACTTTTGGGTCAGATGCAGACGTAGGACTGACATCCATCCTACCTCAAAATCGCCCAAAGACTGAGTTAGCAGAGACAGAAGAAAAGGAGGCCATTGAGTAAATATCTTTGGGAGGAACGCAGTTTTTTGCAATGAGAGACAGTCCCTTCCCCATCCTAGGAGGGAAAGGGGCAAAGCCCTTCTCATGGCTGAGTGAGCAAGGTTCAGGAAAAGCACCCCTAAAAATGAGGACGCTGTTTCTTACCCAGAAGTAATTCCTTCCCAGATGCCCGGGATAAACAGTTCTGGTTTGGGTTGAGATGAGGAGTTTCCTGAATGCCTCAGTTTCCAATTGCTGCCATGAGAAATCAGCACAAACTTTGTGGCGTAAGGCAATGCATGCTTACTGTTCCTATACTGGAGGTCACAAGTCTCATTAAACTAAAACCAAGGTGCTGACAGGATTACATTCCTTCTGCAGGCTCCAGGGGAGAATCAATTTCTGGGCTTTTACGACTTCTAGAGGCTTCCTGCCTTCGTTGGCTCATGGCTCCATCCTCCCTTCATGCCAGAAACTGCATCCCTCTGGCCTCTGCTGTTTCTCTCACTCTGTCCCTTCTGCCTCACCCTTTTAGGAGCCTGTGATTAAGATAAACTCACCTAAACCACCCAGGATGGTGGTCTCATTGAAATAGTCATCTCTACAAAGCTAGTTTTGTCATGGTCACAGGCTTGATCAGGTTGTTGATAGACTGAGGGAAGCTGATTTCTACATTATTTTATATCAGGGTATGAGATGTGCAGGCCCAACACCAGAAAGTTAGTTACCCTATTACTAGATCTTTGGAACACTTGAAAATGTCTTTTGACCATCACCATTTTCCTTTAGTGGGTAGAGAGCTAAGAATCCTGTAATTGCCGGACAGCTCATAACAAAGGTGCCCAGCACAAAACGACAATAGATCCTAAATGAGAAAAATCAGGATTAGCAGCACTACAAGAGGCAGGAATGACATCCTTAAGTGGTGAAATGGATGCTTTTCTCTTCGTGGATCTGCACAGGAGAAACGGAAATGGTACATCTTAGAGGCTAGGAGGGAGTGAGAAACATGGGTGTTTATTCTTGACATGAAATGGACACCTGCATTTCCTGTCAGTTGAGTAGCTCTTGGGTACGGATGTTGAGAGGAAGTAGACTTCCAGGCATCTCAGCCTGAGGACATGCCAGGCAAGAGGTGGCATCAAATAGCGGGGAAGACTTTCGGGGTGGGGGGTGGGGTGCTGGGGAGTCTGAAAGAGGTGGAGCCAATGCCAGACCTTCCAGAAAGGAAATCGAGAAGTGCAGAGGCTTCATGTGATCTCCTGAGAGCATATTCACGTCTCCACGGGACGATCAGCCTCAAGGACACCTGCCACAGGAAGGTCAGCCTCAGCTATAGGGCTTAGCAAAGGAAGAGCCAGAATCAACATGAGATTGGGGTCAGGTCTGCATCCTCTCTCTTTGTCTCTAATTCCTCAAATTGGGACATAGAAAGGGAACAGAAGGGCAGGACATTGTGATCAGCTTTCTTTGGGGTCACCAACCATTTCCCAAATCATGACATGGAGACTTATCATGAGTTATGAATGCTCGGCCTTATTTCATGCTTGTCTCACCAGCTCTTTTAACTTAAATTAACCTCTTTCTCTTCATCTATGATTTGCCTCGGGGCTTTTTAACCTTTCTTTCATTCTGTGCGTCCTACTTTTCCTGCTGCTTCTGTGTCTGGCTTGCTGGCCGCTGCCTGCCTGGCTGATCCCAGGCGTCATCTCTCTCTCTTTCTCCCTATTTCTCTTCCCTCTCTCCTCTCTCTGCCAACCAGCCCCGCCTATCCCTCTTCTGCCTAGCTATTGGCCATTCAACTTTTTCTTAGACCAATCAGGTGCCTTAGGCAGGCAAGGTAAACCAGCAGCAGGACATGTGCTATCTGTGCTCAATATTGTTCAGGCCACAAGGCCTGACTTCCATGCCAATGGAGAAAAATCTTGAATGTGATGTGAGATCACAGCTTAAACTAGACTTACTTCAAAAAAATTCCAAGTGATTGAAAAGTCAGAGGACTGGCCCATGATGCTTAAGGATCTTCTTCTAACCTGATGGGGCAAGAGTGTTCAGAGAGTCATTAAAAATAGTGCGTGAAGAAAATAGTTTTGTTCTTCTACCTCGCCAAATTAAGTATTCGAAATACAATCATTCCATTGTCGTTGGGCATATACAAGGACCTCAGCGCAAAAAAGTGTGGTAAAGTCTGGCACCTGGGCCCAGGACCAGCAGCTTCCATGGTGTGGTGGTTTAAAAGAAAATGCCCCCCATAGGGAGTGGCACTGTTAGGAGGTGTGGCCTTGTTGGAGTAGGTGTAGTCTTGTTGGAGAAAGTGTGTCACCGTTTGTGTGTGTGGGGGGGGGTGCTTTGGGGTCTCCTCTGCTCAAGCCACACTCAGTATGGCGTATAGTTGCTTCTGCTGCCTTCGGATCAAGACGTACAACTCTCAGCTCCTTCTCAGCACTGTATCTGCTTGCCTGCACACCGCCATGAAGACAATGGACTAAACTTCTAAAACTGTAAGCCAGCCGAAATTAAATGTTTTCTTTTATATAGTTGCCATGGTGTCTCATCACAGCACTAGAAAACCTAAGGCTCATGGGATATAAGTAACAATGCATTAGAATTTCTGGGGATGAGTATTCTACTTTCAGTCACCTGAGGTACAGGTTGAGATCAAGTGACCCTGTTAAAGGACCCCAGTGCTAAAGTATGTCAACATGACCTGTACAGTTACCTTTCAGCAAACTGTTTCTTTCTTCTCATAGCTCTAACTGAGAGCATTGATTGCCTGGCTTTCTAGAAGAAATGCATTGAAATATTAGCTTGACTTTGACCTCGTGTGTCTCAGTTGTGTTTCTACACCTGTGATAAAGACCCTGACCAAAGGCAACTTGCAGAAGAATGTGTTTATTTTGGCTCACAGTTTCAGGTCACCGTCCATTACTGAGGGAAGTCGGGGCAGGAACTCAAGGTAGGAACCTGAAGGGGGAAAACAGGCAGAGGCCATGGAGGAATACGGCGTACTGGCTTGTTCCTAGTGCCTTGCTCAGCCTGCTCCCTTATACACCTCAAGAGTACCTGCCCTAGAGTGGCATCACCCACACGGGGTTGGGCTCTCCCCCATCAATCATCAATCATAAAAAATAAAAAAATAAAAAATTTTTAAAAAAACACTGCAGCCTTGACGATAGGCCAATCTGGTGGGGGTATTTTTTCATTTCTCAAAAGAAGTTAATTCATCTCCTGCAAGAACATATCAAGACTATTCTGAGTGCTAGCTCAAAGCCCCTCTGTCTAATCATTATATTTTCTCTTTGTAATATACAAGACTTCTTATTTATAATTCAACTCCTAAGTTATTATAATTATCATGTCACCCAACATATCATCATAACTTTTGTAATAAATGTGCCCATTGCCTAAGAGGAAAAAAATTAAAATGATTCTCCCATGAAGCTTCTTAAATGTTGAAATACACCAGCCTCCATACTCCAGTCCACACTGAGAGAGTAAATTTTATTTAAAAGTGTAAGAATTTGCATAATCATCATCCTATAAGCTAAAAGTTGTAGGGTAAAAAATATATAAATGAACTGTATAGCACCCCTGTGTGCAAAACCATGTGACTGTGAGGGATGAAGAGTTAGACAGGCCCCTGATAGGGAGAGGGGCCATGACTAGGTAATAAAGATGGCTGACTACTTCCTCACCCTCCTGACCTGAGACAAAAGCCTGGAAGTGGGCTTTTCTCTCACCAACAGACCCCCCTATTGATGGATTGGCTCAACAAGTTTAAGGCCAGATCCATACACGTTTACACAGCAGCTGTGGGCAATCAACCATCCTGTCTTTCATCAAACTGACCACCCCTAAATTAAGGGAGGAAGACCCTTCAAAGCCCTTGAGACCCCCAGGCCTCAAGGATGGGTGGGGCTTCTTCTTGTACTTTGTACTGCCCACCTCTACTTTATGGAGTGTCTGTCTCTCTATGTGTTTGTTCTGCGAGAGTTTCCTCACCCCTAATAAAAGCCTTTTTTTTTATAGGCTGATTCTGTCTGCTCCTATCTGGTGTTGGAGATTTCTCACCCTGCTGCTCTCTGACATGCTCAATATTTTTCCTGCCATTTAATTATTTAACTGGCAAAGAAAAATCAACCTGATCAAGACCCCTAGGTGGTAACAACCGCACAAGTAATACTTAGTGTGAATATTCAGGGTGGGGAAGGATGAGTTGCCATAGGAACTCCGAGGTGGAAGGAAGCTCCTCCCATTGAAAGAGATCAGAGAAATTTGGTCAAAAGTGTATCCCGTGAGATAGTCCCTGAAGAACAGATTCTGTTAAGCCAGATGTGAGGCATCAAGGTCAAACAAGCCACAAAGTAAATGATGGCCACTTAAGAAGTGGGAGCACACTCCCTTCCCTCTGGCTTAAAAACTCCTATCTTAGCAGAGAGAAGACTGGAGAAAGAAGGTATGGAAAAAGAAAGGATGTGAGAACATAAAGAGATGGATGCTGGGCAGAAGGGAAAAGGAGAAATGAGAAATGAAAAAAAAAATACAGTTGCCTTGAAGCCTGCCTACCTTCTACATACAGGGAACCCCAGACATGCTATTCAAAGCCAAGTTCAAGCCAAGCTCTCCTTGTTCCCCATTTCTCATTTCTTGCTTACTTCTCAGACTACTGCTGTCTGGCATTGTCCCTGTCATTCCATTTGAACCTTTCTTATGTAAGGATCCCCACACCCGATTTCCTATTGGCTGATTTCATCTTGCCTGGCTTTTCTGAGTTATTCACCTTGTGTCCTCTCCCACAATTGCCAATCCTACCTATAACTAGTAGGTTTTGACTTGGGGGGAGGGGGCGGGGAGTGCAATTTTCTCCTCCCAAGTTCATATATCCATCCATGTCTGATACAGATTTTGGTCGTCTCAGTGGAATTGGAGCAGGTGCCATTGACAGCAGTGAGTAGAGATCTGGAGCAATCTAGAGCATCCTGCAACCGACAGAATGGTCCTACATCACAGTGACTTGCCTGGCTCTAAATGTCAGTTGTCCCAAAGCTGAGAAACCACTGTGCTGTGCTTTGGGTGTATGCCCCCAAAGGTTCCTATTTAGAAAGCTTGATCCCTAGTGTGGAATCGTTTAGAGGAGGCGTCTAGTGGAGGATGACTAGGTCACATTGGAGCATTGCGCCCTGGAAGATTAAGGCAATTATCTTGAGAGTGGGTTGTTGAAAGACCATCGCTGACACTGGCCCTTCTGCATGCACCTGTTTCTCTTTCCAATCCTTTGCCAAATTGTGATGAAGCCTGGAGGCTCTTCCCCAGAGGTTGAACCGATAACGCCACCCAGCCTTAGATCCCCAGTCTCCAAAAGCTGTGAGTCAAACAAACCTCTCATTTAAAAGTATCCAACCTAAGTATTTTGCTATAGTAACATAAAACAGACTGAAGCTGGAAAATTGGGATTGGGGGTTGGAGCTGCTTCTACAACTCTCCCTGAAAATATGGAAACGCACTTGGGAGTTGGTAATAGCCAAGGCTGGATGAATGTGAAAAGCAATCTAGAAAATGCCTAGAATGCTATAATCAAGGCATCAGGGACTGGTCTCTAATGGAAAATTCCTCAGAAGAAATCAATGTAGTTATTGTGGGACCCTACCTAGGTCTTTTTAATTTTTTATTCCATTTTTATTCATTCATGTGTGCCTGTACCACCAGAGTACATACAGAGATCAGAGAACAACTCACAAGAATGAGTTCCTTCCTTCCACCATGTGGGTTCCAGGGATCAAACTCAGGCTGCCAGGCTTGGTGGCAAGAACCACTAAGCCATCTCACCAGCTCCCTATTCAGTTCTTAAGAGAATGGGCGACTGTTAAGTGAAACTCTCTCATGTACATAAAAATGTTCAGAGCTGCATTACGAAAACGAAGCCTGGAGACTCAGATATATAACAGAGAATCAGTTGAATAACCTCTGCTTCGCTTGGCATGTTCATAGTCCTTCATGTGAGAAAAACGCTTAGGAGCGGAGCATGGCAGCACATACCTGTAATACCAGCGCTTAGGACGTAGAGGCAAGAGGATCAGGAATTTGAAGCAAAGCTATTCTTTGCTTACAAGGCCAGCCTCTACTGTATGAGAACCTGTCAGAGAACGGGGTGGGGGAGGGAGGGAGGGAGGGAGGGAGGGCGGGATGGAGGGAGCGAGAAAGAGAGGGAAAGAAAGGAAAGAAAAAGAGGAAGGGAGGGAGGGAGAAAGAGAGGGAAAGAAAGGAAAGAAAAAACTGAAGAAGGGAGGGAGAAAGGAGGTGGGAAAGAGGGAGGAAGGGAGGGAGGGAGGGAGGGAGGGAGGGAGGGAGGGAGGGAGGGAGGGAGGAAGGAGGGAAAGAAAGGAAAGAAAAAACTGAAGAAGGGAGGGAGAAAGGAGGTGGGAAAGAGGGAGGAAGGGAGGGAGGGAGGGAGGGAAAAAAGCAGAGTGAAGGAGGAAGGAAGAAAGCTTGGTTAAAATAGGATACCAAATTAAAAATCAGATTAAATGTTTCTACAGATTGTTTAACTTCAGCTCTGGCTCAAAACCATTCATAAGTCCAGCTCCAAGAAATCTGATGCCTTCTTCTGACCTCCAAGGGTACCAGGCACACATGTGGTGTACATATATACATGTAGGCAAGACACTCGTCCACATGAAACAAAATAAATCTAAACAGAAATAAGTGTTAAGCACCAGTTTAGAATGAGCGACTGAGGCAATTAGAGTAATTCTAAAACGGGTTGAATGAAGCAGCAGGTTTAAACAATTCCAGAAAGCATTGCGAGAATATTTGCCTGTTTTGAAAAGGAGGATAAAGGAAACTGTATACATTTTTAGTAGAGGCAGAATCAATCATTAAGCTAATTTTGAAACTGTCCTGAACTATGCTGCTGACAGTGTTCCAATAAGTAAATTAAGAGGCACAAAGGTTATGTATTAAGAAATCCAGCAAATTTTTGGTTTGGAAACAAAAACACCTCTAAAGTTTCTACAAACCAACAATGACCTTATTCAAAAGTTGAGTCTTTTCATAACAAAGTATACAACCTATTTCCTTAATGTTTTTGATCTTAATTAAATCCCTTTGTTTTTCTTTAATTAAAAAAATCACATAACCCAAGCTAATTAAGAAGATTTCATTGTTTCTCAATTTACAAAGCCTGAATTAGTTTTGCAATGAAGTGAATAAATTTATTTTTCCAGGTACACATCATGACATCGCCTCTGACTAAAATGTTGACAGGCTGAGCGGTTCCAAATGAGCTATGCTGCTTTTAAAAATAATAGCATTGACTCCAGAAACTACCTTCTCAGGCCAGGCTTCTCGATGACAGGCCTTTGGCTAAGGGGTTGAAATAATGACAATAATATACTATTATAGAATTTCAGAATTCCCTTTCTAGTTTAGAATTGTTTCCTTGAGGGAAGTTATTGAGTATGAAGTGCCCTGAATTTTATTGATCTTTACAGTCTAGTATAAAACATTTTTATATAAACCTATCATCTCATCCACGATGACTAATGATCCACCTGTTTTAATTCTAGATGGAGAACTGGAAACAGCAACTTAGTCTTGTGCGTGTGTTACATGCATGTTTACATATTCATATGTACGCAGTTGTATGTGAAGGACGGGGATTAACGTCCAGCATCTTCCTGTATTTATTTCCCCTTCATTTTTTTCAGATAAAATCTCTCACTGAACCTGGAACTCATGGTTTAGCCAGACTAACTGGCCAGCAAACTGCACAGACCCTGCCCCCATCTCCACATCCCCAACCCTGGGATTTCAGGACCACTATGCCTGATGTTTGCACAGCAAGTACTTTCCAACTGAGCCGTCTCTCCGGCCATCCCTATCTCCACTCTTTTCTTTTTGACTCATTTCCAGTAAAATGCCATTACTTTGGTTCTCCTGTGCACTGCTATTATTGTTTATTTGCCCAGGCTTTCTGGTTTCAAAACAAAAGTGGCCCCTGATGCAGGTTTGTCTGGATCTTTGCACATTCCAGTAACATTTTCCTCTGGAGAGTTGAATTCAGTGAGTGACTGAGCCCCAGATGCCCCAGGTGTGTTCACCCTAGGTAGAGAAGTACACATACACTCCTTTTCAAATAGTTCCTAAGTTAGTACTCAGGTCAATCCTTCAAAATTATCATTGCCTAAATGATAATCAAAATAATGCATAAGGAAAAATTTCTTTCAACTGTTGTCAGATCACTCATAGAGCATATGACTTTGTATGCCTTATCTTAGTAATTACAGCAGCACAGATGTGTTTATCCCACCACACCATTATACGTTAAATACTGCACAGCCACAGTTAACTCAAGGAAGTTTTTTTAAAGTGTTTCAGTGGCACAGACAAGAGAGTATCAAACATGCAATAGCAAAGTTAGTTTTTGGTTTGTTTTTTTTTTTTTAATTAACAGAAAAAAAATATGAAGTTGTGAGCGACCAGCTGTGGATCCTAAGCATCTCTGCAAGCTCAGCATCCGATTTGAGAGTCAACACCTTCACTCACCTTCATCTCTATGAGTTTTCTGGGGCTGGCCAAGCAGCCACTGGCTTGAACCACAGAGAGTGATTTGCCCCGAGTCCTGCAGAGTGCAGCATCACAGTGTCCACATAGCAGTTCCTTCTGAGGGCTGTGAGGGAAGATCTGTTTCAGCCTCTCTGAGGCTTGCAGGTGACTGAGTACCATCTCCCTGTCAATGCATGACCTTTCCTCTTTATCTGTTTATATTTGAATTTCTTTGAGTTTTGTTGTTGTTGTTGTTTGTTTGTTCGTTTGTTACATTGATTTATTTGCTTGTGCATGCATGTGCCCTGGCCCATGTGTGGAGGTCAGAGGACAGTTTTCAGGCATGAGATCTCTCCTTTCAACATATGGATTCTGGGCTTCAAACACAGATATTCCAGATTGTCAGCAAGCACCCTTACCCCCTGGTGCTTTATGCCCCCTTTAACTTACAAGGACAGCAGTCATATCAGATTAGGATCTATCCTAACGACCTCATGATAATTTTACCTCTTTAAAGAACTGTGATTGTTTTCCAATTTTCAAGTTGAGACCTTGAGTCCACTGGGAGATGGGCCTCTGGGAACAGAGGAGGTACATCTTGATCAGGTTAATTAAGTTCAGGAAGATGGCCCATTGTGGGTCCAGCCATTCCCTGGGCTGGGATTCAAGACTGGAAAGTGAACACAAATGTTCATCACCCTGCCTCCTGATTGTAGATATGATGTGGCTAGCTGCTTCAAGTTCGTAACTTCCCTGCCTAGACGTCTCTGTTTTGATGGACTGTATCCTTGAGCCAAAATAAACCCAGACCAAGGTCATCTGACTGTTAAATAATGACAGGGCCCGGAATTATGCACTGTTGCCAGCTCAGCCAGAACTATAACCCGAAAGCTATTTTCTTTTTAATGCTTTGTTAGAATACATTAACTATATGCAATAATGGTTTTCATGGTGGCATTTATGCTATACATAATGCATTCTGATCACCTATTTTCATTTGGAAAATTCCAAACTGTCAGAGGAGCTTCAAGAATAGTACGATGAGCCTCTGATCCCCACTCAGATTTAGATTTATCCATCCGGTTTCCTCTGCTCCTCTCTCCCCAGTGTTCCTCCCCTGCCTCTCTCCTTCTCTTCCCTTTCCTTTCCAGCTCTCCAGTCTACCATACGCTAACCAGTCATCACATTTCCTAAAAGTACATTCTTCTCATCTCCACAGTAGGAAATACTGTTAGAACACCACTATCAAATATAGAATCAATTTTAAATCCTCAGTTGTCTCATTAAAGCCTTTGTGGCTATCATTTTACTTTTTTATTCAAGAGCCAGTCAAGGATTATGTGTATTTCTTAATTTTCATGTCTATGACTTCTTATTTTTTAGTTTTATTTATTTTATTTCATTTTTTTTTTCTTCCTTGCTTGCTTGCCTATTCTGTTGTGCTGGAGATCAAACCCAGGACCTTGATTAGCTAGGCAAGCACTCTACCTCAGCCCTGGTGCCTCATTTTCCGTGTGTGTGTGTGTGTGTGTGTGTGTGTGTGTGTGTGTGTGTGTGTTAGTTTGAATGTAATTGGCCCCCATAATCTCATAGGGAGTGGCAATATTAGGAGGTGTGGCTTTGTTGGAGTGGGAGTGGCCTTGTTGGAGGAAGTGTGTCACTGTGGGGGCAGGCTTTGAGGTTTCCTATGCTCAGGATACCGCTAGTGTCACAGTTACTTCCTGTGACCCTGCATATTAAGATGTAGCCAGCATCACATCTTCCTGCACACCACCATACTCCCCACCATGATCATGGATTAAACCTCTGAAACTGTGAGCCACCTCAATTAGACGTCTTCATTTATAAGAGTTATTGTGGTTATAGAGTCCCCTCACAACAATGAAGACCCTAACTAAGGCAGAGGGTGTGTATATCTGCGTGTGTGTACGTGTACTGTATGTTTGTTTGGGAATGTAAGCACATGTATGTTACAGTGCACATACAGAGGACAGACGACAACTTCAGGTCAGGTCAGTCCTTGCTTTCCACATTGTTGAAGGTGGAGTATCTTGTCTGCTGCCCCTGGCAGTGGGGTCAGGATCCATCCCTGGTGCATGAGCTGGCTTTCTGGAGCCCATTACCTATGATGGGACACCTTGCACAGCCTTGATGCAGGGCGGGAAGGGCTTGGGCCTGCCTCAACTGAATGTACCAGACTTTGCTGACTCCCTATGGGAGGCCTTACCTTTTCAGAGGAGGGGATGTGGGGTAGGTTTGGGGGGGGCGGGAGTGGGGGAGAGCAGGAGGAGAGATGAGAGGGGGATCTGATGGAAGGGGTTGGTATGCAAAATGAATAAAGCTTTTCTTAGTAAAGAAAAAAAGCTGAAGAGTAAGAAGTAGGGAATGAATTTGATCAAAACACATTGTATACATGTATGAAATTCTCAAATAACAAAATCAGAAAACTTTACGATAAAATCACAAAGGATATTAACAAACCTCTCAGTAGTGAATTACAAAAATGGAAAGTCCTGAAGCTGGGTACTTATAACCAAAGGAAGATTATTAACTCATAGTTTTAGAAATGGAAAGTCTGAGATTGGACGGCCCTATCATTCAGCCTCCAGTGAGGTCCTCCCGCCAGGTAGCATCGAGGCAAGGACACATTGATAATAAAGCAAGGAAGGAAGCTAGGGAGCAATCTTTTATCACAACCCACTATTGTGAGAACTAACTGGATTCCATCAGAACTACATTATCCCCACAGAGGGCAGCTGCCACAACCACCTCAACGATGCTTCCTCCTAGGCCCCACCTCTCAGTGATTCTGTACCCTGATCCTGCCACAGCGAGGACCAACACCCATGCACGCACGTGTGATCACTGAGGGACAAACCGTAGACAAATATACCAAGAATTATGCTCATAGTTACTCTGATATTTTGTGATAAGTTGGGTCCTGTTCTAGGTTTTTTTTCTAGAGATAAGCGTGCCATGCCTTAGGAAGACATTGTCTTTGGGGTAAAACAAGCAATTTCAAAGTTAGAAGGACATAATATGAAATCAAGATTCTTGATTTGAAATTTAAAATCTTGAGCCACCTGCCAGGCATGGCGGTGCACACCTTTAATCCCAGCACTCAGTAAGCAGAGGCAGATGGCTCTCTGTGAGTTCAAGGTCATCCTGGTTTACACAGTGAGTTCCAGGCCAGCCTGGGCTACGCAGGCTGCCTCAAAGGAAAAAGCAGCAACAACAAAAGAATACACTGCTTACTATGAGTGTGATCTCGAACCAGTCACCTACCCCTTTTATCTATGAACTAGGGTTGTGAGAGTTCCTTATTTATTCTAAGAAGTAATTAAAATATTGAAAATGTTTTTACAAAGTCCAGGCCACATAAAAATGTTCATTTTTCTTATTTTAGCAGCACTACCATAAACTATCATTTTCTCCCATCTGACAAAATTTAAGAAATTTTAAGATAATCCCAGCTACAGGAATTAATTCCATAACTGCCTAAGTGCATTGCATTCCTCTTAGCCATGCTGTTTTTTAATTTAGAAAAGAAAAAAAAAGCCCTTTGCTACATTACTATCAATCATAACTTTCTACTGGGGATTGGATTAAAATATCTCAGATCTCATGCCAAATGAGGATGGGGTTTATTTTTATTCCTCAACTGTACAATTGTTAACATTTTATGTATTTCATATTTAACAGAAAATGAAAAGCATCACAGTGGAGGAGAAAACTATGTTAAGAATCTGATTCCAAGGGAAATATTTCATCTGAGAGTCTAGCACTGGTTTGAAATATTTGATGCTGGTCGAGCGAGTCTAACAATTATGTTAGTGTGCACTGGCCAGCCCCAGTTTATATAATTCACAATAGAAATATGGTAAGCCCAACAGAGTGTAAAACTCAAGATAATTCTGCTGTATTCTGTTCCCAGGTATCTGGGCTAGATAAAAATTCAGCCTCTAAAAAAAGACAGAGGTTTTTCTTCCTATTTTTGGAGTTTTGAATCTAGACATAAATAAATAGGAACCTGGATTGTGTTAAAAGCAGAAACAGTTAATTGTGGATGGACCTTCTTTTTCTAGTGAGCCCAAATACAAGCCTGTCCTAAAATGCCCATCTATTAGTAATAGTGAATCCTGTTGAATCTTCAGCTCATGCAGTGTATATATGATTCTAGGGACTAAAATGTCCTATTTCCTTGACATAAGAGAAAGAATACACAGATAAGACATGCTTGTTCAATTTTCAGGCATGAGCAGGTATGGCTGGAGTCAGTCTTGATTATCCAGTTGAGTCCACCAATAACTCTGGCCTTGAGCCAAGCACTACAGTCTCCACACATGTAAAACAGGGGAACTTAATGAAAAAGCCCTTGAACTCTCCCC